GAAAAAACACCATCATAAAAACTTTGCAGATAATTAATTGATATTTAATAGATAATTCTAACAACAATGCTATATTTAAGAATGAATACTTGTTTTAATATGTTAATTTATTTACTTATTATATCTACAGTATATAGTGATAACATTTATTCTTTAACTTCAAGATTTAATTAAATAAATGCCTGGTTTTCACTCAACAAAATTCTTATTAAATTATGTGATATAAAAACACATACTTTTAGACCAATTAATTATAAACACAAACACAAAAAAGAGCAAAAGTTACCAAAACAGGCCACCAAACCAAGCCTGCAGTTTGCGCATAGACTGCACAGCAGGTTATAGCACAGCGTGTTATAGCAAATTAAGACACCTTTGCATTGCATAACCTTTTAAAGAAATTTAATGAATGAATGGCTTTACCTCTTTGGGTGCCTTAACGGCGAGATAATCGTCAAAGATTTTGCGGGACTTTTGTGTCATTTTGGAGGCCCGAGATTTCTTGAACTCCTCGCACGCCATCCAAAACTCAATGTTTTCTTAGGCTTTACCTCTTTGGGTGCCTTAACGGCGAGATAATCGTCAAAGATTTTGCGGGACTTTTGTGTCATTTTGGAGGCCCGAGATTTCTTGAACTCCTCGCACGCCATCCAAAACTCAATGTTTTCTTCGCTAAACTCACGCGAAAGGAAAGCGCGAAACAATGCGCTGCCGTCTGTTATACGCCCCCCATATGTGGCCATCAATTGCCGCAAACATAGCGCAAAAAATAGACATTATTATTATCATTAATCATTTGGATTGGGTTTGATGTGCGAGATTTTTTTATGTGCTAACAATTTATTGTTTGTTTAAAGGTTTTTGGGTCACAAAGAGAGCGGAGTTCACAGAAGAAGAAGAAATAAATAAAATGAAAACTTTGCGCAAAACTATTGTTGTGTTTATTGTCGGGAAAAGGATTGGAGGAAATGGGAAGACAAGGAGTGGGGAAAAGGAGTGATGAGGAAGTGGTGGATATAATTGTGTTGCGAGACTTACATCGGCTGCTCATGAGGTCGATGAAAGAGTTGGCCCACTTCTCGAGCTCCTCTTTTGAGGGCCGAACCGAGGATTCAATGGATGAGTCCGTATGACGTCTTCGCAAAAATCTTAGCCTCTGTTTCATGTCTTCTAATGCACTGCAGAGGAAGTGATGGCAAATAAAATAGCAATTATTATTAGTATTACTTTTTCAAATCAATAGATTTCTAGAGTATAACAGCAAATAGTACTACAATTAAAGGGCAACAGAGAGTGGATCGCGAGTGATATAAATATAATAATAAATGGGATGTTAAGGGAAAATGGATTTAATTGTATTGCAAATCATATGCTTAATGATGAAGCAAATGACACAAGCGTTTAGATATGCAATAAACTATGCATTTAATGATAAATGTATTTCTATTAACAGATAATACATTATTGTTAATAAATGTGAGCCCAATATGTGATAATATCTTAATATCATTGCAATTGATTTGTTGCTTGTATTCAAATGGCATTTAACTATTGCCACATTAATAAAGTTAATAAAATTAAAATTTTCTATCAATACATTAGCGATTTTTCTCACGCTTTTATATGACTTATGCACATATTATTTACATTTAAATAATAATTAGTTTTACAAAAATATAAAATTTAAAACAATTTATAGTAAAACAAAGAGTTAACCAAAATATAAACAGTAAAACATTATTGCGTATGGACGAATTGTATTAACTCAACTATTTTCCGTAATCCTTAAGTAACTTGTATCTTCACTTGTAAACTTGTGTTTAACTTGTGAACTATCTATAAATATAATCAAAAACGTAATTAACTTTTGAAAAAGGTTTGTCAAATTTTGCAATCACTTCAATTGTTACGACTATTTTACTCGTGTGTTCACCAGAGAAAGTACAGCAAAGTATTGAGATCGAGATATGTTGAGAGAGTGTGAGAGAGACATCGATAGAGAGGAGAGATGCGAGAGATGTGAGAGAGTATTGGGAGAGTGTATGAGAGACGGAGAGCGCGAGTGCACTGTAAAGAGCAAAGAGTCAAACCGTATGTATGGCATGAATCTAATGGGCGAACGAACGCTACTATTATTATATATACAGAGAATCGAGAACTGCATTAAGTATTTCCCGATTCATATAACATAACACTCTTCTGTGCTCTACATCTAAAAATAGCACTCGAGCTCATTCTGCTCCTCATTCTGTTCCTACGTAAGCACAGGCCTTACCACTGTCTCAGCACTGCCTCAGCACCGGCTCAGCTCTGGTGACAATTTTTATTTAGATCACAGACATCACTGCATAACCTTTATCTCTCAAATAAATACTTGTGTTTATTTTTAGACTAAATCTCTCTCTCTCTCTCTCTCTCTCTCTCTCTCTAAAGAATATTCTTTATATTATTTTACATGTCATACCTTAGTTCCTCTCTCACTCGCTCTCTCTTTCTCTCTCTCTCTCTCTCTCTCTCTCTCTCTCACGCAAATGTTGGCACATAATCTTTATTGTTAACACTTTGTTAAATGAATGCAAATCAATACAAAAAGGAGTTGTTTCCAAACATCTTTATTATAACTGTCATAACATTTATAAATTCTTTGAGTGAAGTTTTTTTATAAGTATTATTAATTATAAATGACGTTAAATGACAAAAAAAAGCAAAACGATGTTTAATGAAGTTTCGTGTTTCTCTCATTGAAATAAAGTTTATAATAAAGTTAGTACTGTATTATGTATTGGCGTTTAACGACATAATCAATACATACATAAAGAGATCACAACTACTGAAAAGCCTTTACTAAAAATAGCACTTTTAAGATAAATATTGAATTTTAAGCATAAAGTATTAGGTATTAGTAAAGTGTTATAGAAATGCGAGGCCAGTAGTGAAAGAATTAATTTCTGTATTCACGTCATAAAAATTGTAAAATACAAGAGCTATTGAATTATGAATTATATATTCTTTATAATAAACTACACCTCAATTCACACAATACTGTATTTTATATACATTTCGTAAAAATTCTTATTCAATTCGTATTTCACTTTTTTTTCTCTATTAGTAAGTAAAACAGAATTATTATTATTATTATTATTATATAATTGTTATTTATATGTTAAGTACACTCAATAAATATTTTCTTTAAAATAAATTTAATATTATATTTATATTAAGGTTAGCGTAAATCTTGACGTAAATTGTCTGCCTTTCTCTCTCCCACTCCATCATTGCGTTCATCACTATTGACTTAAACACTAATAAACTCTCACTTTTACGCAATTTTAATACAATTTAAAATTATAAATCTATTAATATTTGTAAATCTCAAACAATAATAAGACAAACAGATTGTAAAGATATTTAAAGAGAAAAACTTTCGCAATAATTTGATTGGTTTATACATATTATTGACTTTGCATTCAAACCAAAGCAATTGCAGCAAAAAATTTATATAACTCTATAACACATCCCAGACTTTAAAATTATAATAAAAGACTCAAAATGCGTAAGACATCTCTCTCTCTCTCTCTCTCTCTCTCTCTCTCTCCTCTTCTCTATTGTAAACATTGTTTAATTTGATTTTCAAATATAATGTAAGGATTCTGTCAAATGTGTGCCAAAATAAATACTTTTTGTGAGTGATATAAATATTAAGCGTTTTGTTTAAAATAAAATATGCATAAAAATAGAAAACTTTAATATAAAAATAGTCAAACATTTTCCTTTAATATATTAAATCTGTGCACTTTAATACACACTCAAAATGATTTAAGAACAGTATACATTGTTCTTATACTTCTCAGCGTGTGATATATCACTAATATTTAATTAATTTATGTGACTGATATGTATGTATCACACCCGTATAAGACAGATAGCATATGGTATTAGGAATATATAAATCCCTCGATTAATATAATTCCTCCATTAGTGGTACAAAACCATCAGATATTTTGGGTCCAAATAGGTTTCTATCAATTAAGAGACGATGTCTTAGCACTCGTTGTTATGCGATTGAGTGGGTCTTTAACCTTTCAGTTAAGTACAGCTCAGCCTTATTCCGGGTCTCTATCCCTATATCCCTCTCTCCTTCCCTCTCTACTCCTTCTTAAAGGGCAAAGGCTTGCATAGAATGCAGACTCTATTCTGTGCTCCACTTTATAACCAAAATACAGAATTTATATATAGAATGGTATGAAAACACTTTAACTGATTGATAGCAAAAATCAACAAAATTAAAAGTATTAATCTTTTCAATTGCGTTCAATATATTTACAAATAGTGTGTATATCTTACAACTGATAAAATTATGTGTGAGTTTTACTAAATTCTTGTCATATGTAACAAGAATATGAAGAGTCGCACACTATATAGTGATTATAAATTAATTAAATACACTGACTATACATACATAGTGTGGGCATATTCTGTAAAGAATATGGTATTAGGAATATATAAATCCCTCGATTAATATAATTCCTCCATTAGTGGTACAAAACCATCAGATATTTTGGGTCCAAAAAGGTTTCTATCAATTAAGAGATGATGTCTTAGCACTCGTTGTTATGCGATTGAGTGGGTCTTTAACCTTTCAGTTAAGTACAGCTCAGCTTTATTCCGGGTCTCTATCCCTATATCCCTCTCTCCTTCCCTCTCACTCCTTCTTAAAGGGCAAAGGCTTGCATAGAATGCAGACTCTATTCTGTGCTCCACTTTATAACCAAAATACAGCATTTATATATAGAATGGTATGAAAACACTTTAACTGATTGATAGCAAAAATCAACAAAATTAAAAGTATTAATCTTTTCAATTGCGTTCAATATATTTACAAATAGTGTGTATATCTTACAACTGATCGCATGATTATAACGATTATCTCATATATTTCCGTTTGTGAATTTTAGGTCAGAGTCATACTGTGTATACAGTACAGTATATCCATAATCACATCACATCCCATCCCTTACTTCCCATAGAGTATTGTTTGGGAGAAATCAACTGCGAATGGATGCAGAATTGCATTTCGTATGACATCACTGTTGTATAGAGTTATATATACCGCATGTATAAAAATACTTTTAGGTCTCCAATCGGTGAGCTATTTATAGCAAAAAAACTCTACAATTCCTTCGCGAATATAACCCAAAAACATATAAAGATTGACCCAAAAGAAGGCTCTCTATTTGACACTTGAATGACACTTCAGTTGTGAAATACTCGCTATTCAGACGCTCCTCGCAAATGGAAAATACATTAATCCATATTTGATTAGATTTTATGTTATTTGGAGGCAAAACTGCTATCCTTTCACATTAGGCCTTAAGATTTAATCTTTTTTGAGACACTTCTTAACGTATTAAACACTGTTTAGTGTATTTGTGTGTGTATTATATAAAATCAAGTAACAAATAATTTAAAATTATTGCATGAATGGCAAGACTCGGATGAAAATCAATGGGATTTGATGTGGTATTCCGTGCGCTAGCACTGGATTATATTGAATGGCAAAACCAATTATCGATTTGTAAACATCTATGTCATTGGGAATACTAATATGTAATAAATACACAGAATAATTACAACTACAAAACAATTCATTTATATTCTTGCAATTCTGTTATCATATGTCTTACAGTATTTCAAAATATTCGTTATTTATATAAATTATTTGTTCATAATATGGGCTATAATTTGTCAGTAAATTAATTTTTGAGAGCGCCTACAGTTTTATTGTTATGGTTTGTTATGTGTATCGCATGTAATGCTATATCTAGTGAACTAATCTTACGATATGTATAGAAATTGTTATATAAATGGTTTAATAAAGGAATCCAATGATTGTCGGAACAGAATCTAAGCAATCAATAAAAATAGTGAACGACTTTATTGCTGTTTCGCTACTCATCTTATATGTGATATGTTTTATACAATAAGGGATTACTAAACAACGATATAAGACTACTATCCGTTAAAGAGCTTTGATAGCAATTTGATTGACATTTTCCGAGCCATAGGAAAGAATAGCGACATTAGGTTTTAGGCGACAGAGAAAAAAATCAAAGTTCACAAAACATTGGTTTTATATTATATCAAATATTTGATATATATTTATAATGATAGGAAAGGGGAGAGCAAATAGATAAGAGCACAGAGGCATAGGAGGAAAGGTATGGTGTGTGTGATAGAGAGCACATATGGGGGATGTTGTGTATTAATAGATAGATATAAAGCAATAGATCACTTACGGGGCCTGTTTCCGACCTCTTTTCGTGTGCTCCTTCCCATCGCTCAATCGCTGCAAACAATAAACGGAATATAAATTTATATTATAGTAAACACAGAATAAGTAGAGAAGACTTTTTTCATTGAAATTCAATTTTTACGTCAAATAAGCGAAAGAATTAGATATATATTATATTATATATAGAGAATAATCGCATAAAACAAAGAATTGGGTGAAAGTTTCTATTTTTAGAAATGCATAGAATATTCTGTGCGGCAAAACCAGTAGTTTTATGTTCAATGACTGTGACCTCGCATTAGATCTCATATATTATATATAAACTATATATAAATAGAGGTTTATAGAGGTTTGTTATAGGATTTTGATGGATATATTGATTGCTGAACTAATAAAACAATAGTTTTAAAACATTTTTATTTTTAGTCTATTTTTCATACATTTAGAGAATTATGTAATTCTGGCAAAAATTTGTTGCGTGAAAAGGCATTTATGAATTGGATATATAATTTAAAAGCAACTCTTTATGAGATCCAAAAATACACACAAAACGACTGAATGAAAGCTAAAAATATCGACGAGAGATATTCCGCTCCATTTCCTCATTCATAAGAGTGTTTGAACAATAAGTTTATACAACTTTTTTCATTGTTATGTCTATAAATAGATGCCTTAGAATCGTATTAAACACAGCCTTATTAATGGTACACATGGTTATTGCTATATTGCTTTATATACGTATTTTATATCATATAATATAACAGATTACAACAATAATTATATTAATTAAGCCTAAATTTCTAAATGTCTAAATTAATTGCATAACTTTATTCTGACATGAATATTAAGTTTAAAATAAAGTTGTTATAAATAGTAAAACTATTATAACTTTATAATTCACACATCTACATGTATTGTACGATTATTTCTACTACAAAAACACAATTAGACACCAAATGTTATACATATTGAATGAAGTGTCTGCCAAATATCATACTTAACTCTATCACTAGAATTGCTTTCAAATTAAATGAGATTATAATTTGAATAAACAATTCTTCAAAAACTTTTTGTTAAGAATTCTTGTGACTCTTTAATACTCTATTATTGACTTTAAAATAGAAATTCTAAATAAAAATCTAATTAACCGTACATGTAATAAGTAGAGATAAGTACCTGGATAATAGTTGCCGAGCAGATATTTAATATGAAATCATATTAAAATGTAAAATAATCTCATTAATTTAGAATATTAAATTGTTTTTTCATAAAAATATGGTTATTGATTAAAATTTGAATATTTTATGCAATATTATATTCAATATATTATAATACCTTAAAAATAAAAGCTATATTAATTTTATACTAAAAGCTAAACTAAAAGTAAAAACTAAAAGTAATTTTAAATAGTTAGAATTCATTAACTTTAGACAAAATTAAACAATAATATTATACTTTAATTAATTATTAGACTTTAAATAAAATATAAAATAATATAAAGAGTTGCAAAACTTACGGAAGGCTTTTCACTGAGAAAAAGTGCATAAGAGGGCACATCCTTAGAGCAACCGGCGCTATGCGTCCGTCTCAACAGTTTGGCAATCTTTCCGGGGTTTACGAAAGCCATACTTCCCTTTCGACGGCGCGAAGACGACGGACCACCGCTACCGCTGGCCGTTGGCGAGGGTTCGGCCGACGGTTCCGGTGTTGTTGTGGTCTTGCGAGTGGTCAACGGCTTCGGCGATACGCTTCGTCTATTTTTTGTTTGTTCGCTCTAAACGTATTGTAAATGAAATGATGTTATCGTTTATATCGCACACACTTTATGCTAAAATAATGTTTTTTCCAAAAACAGTGTTTGATTTGTAATTACTGTACTTTTGTGATTGAGTTGTGTTTCGCAAGTAAAGTGATTCTTTATAAAAATCTTTGTCGTAAACTAATAGCAAAATTTAATTCTGTTTTGACTCCATTTAGTTGAAAACAAAGAAAATATATGATTAATTGAAAATTCATGAAACATAAAGTGTGGTAATGTATCACTATTTCTCTATTCACTGTTACATATCTAAAGATTAATTTATAATTAGTTGTGTTCAAAGCTATCGCAAAAAGCATCTTTGTCAATTTAAGCGTAAATAATCAATTGAACAATTAATAATAATGTATTGATTGTATCATTTGCTTACATATTAGTTTTCTATTAATTTAAAACAAATATTAGTTTATTTCCACATGTTGAATATTTTTTTAATTTTCTACTTCTTTCTTGTAAAAGTTTTAAACATAAAAATATATGTTGTAATTATTGTAGTTATATAAAGTTACTTTAATTTACATTAATGTTTCAATAAAAAACTAAATATTGTAATTGTGTTAAGTTTAGTCATCAGTATTTCTATACATATAGTAATTGCTAATTGCATTAATTACTTCCTAATGCCTTCTCTCTCTCGAGATCTCTCTCTCTCTCTCTCTCTCTCTCTCTCGCCTAAAGATACTATCACTTAAAACACAGTCACAAATGCATNTCTCTCTCTCTCTCTCTCTCTCTCTCTCTCGCCTAAAGATACTATCACTTAAAACACAGTCACAAATGCATTCATTAGTCGTTAAATAGATTATCGAAAAATATAGTTAATTCTCAGTAATCTTAGAGGAAAAGTGCTTTTTTACTGGAAATACATATAATATGTTTTTCGGTCAAAATCACAATAATATCCACACATAGAGTGTGTTTGTGTTTGAAGGCAACAAATGGGTTCAATGAATGCGCTAAATATTAGACTTTTAAAACAAAAATAGGTTTTTACTATAAAGAATTACCAAAATATATAAATTATTGCTATGTATATCGTAGTAAATGTTGAATGGTAATTTGCAAACACTATGGGGAACGTATTGGGAAACGTTAAAATGACATTCATCAATTGTTATACACTATATACATGGTAAATATTAATGAAATTAGAAATCTATGTAAATATCGATTAGAGGTTAGTATTGATGATGGTGAGAGATAATTTAGAGGTTAAGTACTTGTAATTAAGGGGTCGGGAGTGCCATTCGGGGCCGGATGTGGCCAATTGCCAGTTGACTGACACTCGCGACTGGAATGTGTGAAGTCATGAATGAATTGTTTTTTCGTTTCTCAATACATGTATATTATATTTACTGTATATATGCGATACCGATGTTGTATAGTATAGTATATTAGCCTTAATCTCATTATGAATGCAACACCGATTTAGAGCACCGGTAGGTATCGTTTGGCTGAGGGGTACTGTCTTTTCGTGCAATACATCCATTAATTATGGGGTCACCGGTGGTGAGCAATACATGAATACATCTCTATATGATTGCAATATGATATACACAGGCCTTACACACGTATCGCTGAGCCAAACATCAAAAGCTAAACGTTATCTAAGAATTGGTTGAATCGATAGATCGGATACGAAGTGAAGGGAAATACATATTTCTTGAGCGCAAACACCAAAACCTAAAGCCAAGAGTCGATGTCTGCCAGTCCTGCGTAACGTCTTAAATATGATGTGCCTTTTGTTGGCGTTTTGTGGGTTTGTAAATCATTTGGACAATTATAACACTACTTCTCGGATTACCGGCTCCTAAACGCTACTCTCTCTCTCTCTCTCTCTCTCTCTCTCTCTCTCATCGGTCTAATAGAGTCTGGAATTTGAGCACAACTTATAACTGTATTAATGAATGCAAAGAATCGTATCGTATGTATGGCTCGCTTCTGGAGGAATAGGACAGAGGACTGACTTTCTCGGCACTGACTTCTCATTTACAATAGATATACATATTTAGTCGTATGAATGACTTATTTGGTGCAGACATACGACAACCAAACATAAGTATAATCAATGTCTACTTTATTAGACTGAATGCGAGCTCTGGTATGGCGTATACACAGCCATGTCTTCAATGGCACCAGCGTTTTGGCACTGGTGTCAAAATTTTGAGGAGTGTTCACAAATACATGCATACAATATATGAACACACGAGCCGTACGTATGAAGTATATGAAAAGCGAGAGTGAAGTGAGAATACAATATGTTTTTGACAATCATATATATTATGGGCCAAACATTTTTGGCAAAACTTTTCATTTCATTGCATTCATTCACTTAACACTGTTTTCTATTGCCATTGAATCTCATTTTACAGACACTGAGTACTGAAGCGATGAATAGATTAATGTTTAGAGAGAGAGAGAGAGAGAGAGAGAGAGAGAGAGAGTAGCGTTTAGGAGCCGGTAATCCGAGAAGTAGTGTTATAATTGTCCA